ACTTCAACTCCCAGAATTCTTCAGCCAGTCACAGGTTACCAAAATCTGCAAATCATTATTAATGATACATCTAAACAATTTTCACAGGCAATACTGCAAAACTGTGTTTTATATGCTAATCAAGAGTTTGAGGTGTCTCCATAACTTCTCAGGATTGTGCATTATTGTCAGGAGCACAAGACCAGGTCCATATGAGAAGGTCTGGTTAAACCAGGGGTCTTCAAACCTGGCCCTTTTATGACTTGTGGACTTCAACTTCCAGAATTCCTCAGCCAGGCACGCTGGCTGAGGAATTCTGGGAGTTGAAGTCTACAAGTCATAAAAGGGCCAGGTTTGAAGACCCCTGGTATAGGTGGTCCCCAACTTACAACCAGTTGCTTTTAGTGTCTGAAATTACCCTAACCCTGAAAAAGGGGACTTATGACTCGGATCTAAAGTTCCTCCATGGTCACGTGATCGCTCTTTGGACACTCACAACACGACTGCATTTGCTGTCATTTGCAACATCCTGAGGTCACATGACCAGACTCTATGACAGTTTTGCTGAAAACCAGCACTTATTTTCACTTTTCGGCAAAATCAGGCTTATAGCGAACAGTGGATTCACACTTACGACCACCACATTTGTTTAACTACATTTGTGTTTGCACTTCGAATTACCACAAAAAAGCATCATCATATTTTAAGACCGACTTACAACTATAATGGGCAAGCTTAATTACAGTCATAACTCGAGGACTGCCTGTTCTCCAGCAGATTATGACAGAGTTGGAAGGAACATTGGAGGTCTTCTAGTCCAACCCCCTGCTCAGGCAGGAAATCCTATACCATTTCAGACAAATGACTGTCCAGTCTCTTCTTAAAAACTTCCAGTGCTGGAGCATTCACAGCTTCTGGAGGCAGGTTGTTCCACTGGTTAATTGTTCTCACTGTCAGGAAGTTTCTCCTTAGTTCTAGGTTGCTTCTCTCTTTGGTTGGTTTCCATCTATTGCTTCTTGTCCTGCCTTCAGGTGCTTTGGAGAATAGTTTGACTCCCTCTTCTTTGGGGCAGCTCCTGAGATTTTGGAACACTGCTATCATGTCACCCCTGGTCCTTCTCTTCATTAAACTAGACATACCCAATTCCAGCAGCCTTTCCTTATATGTTTTAGCCTCCAGTCCCCTAATCATCTTTGTTGCTCTTCTCTGTACTCTTTCTAGAGTCTCAACATCTTTTTTACATCATGGATGTAAACTGGATGCAGTATTCCAAGTGCCTTTACTAAGGCCTTGTAAAGGGCTATTAACACTTCACATGATCTTGATTCTATCCCTCTGTTAATGCAGCCTACTACTGTGTTGGCTTTTTTGGCAGCTGCAGCACACTGTCTTGCCTTCTGGTACCTTGGAAAATAAATTGACACCCTCTTCTTTTCAGCCCCTCAAATATTGGAACACGGCTATCATGTCACCTCTAGTCATTCCTAGTCTTTCTTTTCTCTAGACTAGATATACCCATTTCATGCAACTGTTCTTCATATGTTTTAGCCTCCAGTCCCCCAATCATCTTTGTTGCTCTTCTCTTTCCAGAGTCTCAACTTCTTTTTGATATCGTAGCGAACAAAATTGGGTGCAATATTCCAAGTAGATAGATGAAGTCTCTCTCTAAAATGCTTCATGACCAACCATACAGTGCTTTCATCGAGACATTAAATAGCACTGCAGACAAAAGAGCACAATGTGGTACTTTGTCGTGTCGTCGCCTGGCATTCACTGGGGACTCCGAAGTGATCAATGAAGTCCAAATCTCTCTTCTTAATAAATAGAGAGATGCCTGGCTTTATTGCACTTTTCTGATATTGCATTTTTTTTTTTACAAGACCCACCACCAGCCAGAAGATTACAACTTGCTGAAGGTTCAGATTAGTATCTTTTAGCAATAAAGGGTTTTTTAATTAATATATGTTGATCTTTTACATGTAATACTATTGCACATTTAATAGATAGAGGAACGTGAAAAATCTAACTTTTATATGCCCCGGGAAACCCCAAAATTCGTGTGACTGTCTTTATTGCGATATTTCAGTCAAAAATCAAAAGTGGCCAGTGATTGAAGTTGGTCTAGTTTTTGTGCATGCTGTATGTATGTGTGTATACACATACAAAACAGCATGATTGGCTGGAGAGTTCTGGAAGTTGAAGTCCTCGAGTCTTAAAGTAGCCAAGTTGGACACTCTTGATCTAAGGCTAAGCTCTCATCTTCCCCAGTCCCCTTTGAGCACTGTAGCTGAGGAGAAGTTGAGTCAAAAACAAAAACAAAACCTCTTTCAATAATACAGAGATCCACCCCCTCATTTCTGCTCCAGGCTCCTGCTTATCCAGATGTTTCTTTGATTTAGGTCTCTCAATCAAATCCCCAGTAGATAATGAACAGCTGCCCTGTCTTCATGTGGACCCAGGTCCTGTTTTATTTTCTACAAGAATATCATCCACTACCCATACCCCTGTGAAGATGAGGCTTAAAAAGAGGTGGATTGTGTCTCTTGCAACTTGCCATCCAAAAGTGTCACAGAAGGAGCAGAGTTATCAGAACAGAACAATAGAGTTGGAAGGGACCTTGGAGGTCTTCTAGTCCAACCCCCTGCTCAAGCAGGAGACCCTATACCATTCCAGACAAAGGACTGTCCAGTCTCTTCTTGAAAACTTCCAGTGTTGGAGCACCCACAACTTCTGGAGGCAAGTAGTTCCCCTGGTTAATTGTCCTCACTGTTAGGAAGTTTCTTCTGTGGTCTTACTAAGGCATTATAAAGTGGTAGTAACATCATGACGGGATGTAGGAAGGGTGCTGTCATGGAGGATATGACAGTGTCTTCTTGTGTTCTTTTTTGGGAAGATCAGATGATGGTTTTGAAACATGTTCCATATGGGATGTTGTTGATGTGAAGGAGGCTGAATACCAAGGGAACAAAAAAATAATTTTCTGCTGCCTGGATGCCAAAAAGAGGAGGAAAATATGGTGATGACATGGTTCTGGAATTGCAAGGTGGGTTTTGGAGTTGTCACAAATAATAGTGGGCCTCGTGATGCACAGTTTTAGACTGTGAGAACCAAACCATTATGGGATGTGATTTATGGCCCTTTGGATGGACCTAGTGTGTTAGGGAACCACAGAGTTGTGTCTGCTTTGAATCATGGGAGGGGGAAAGAGACACCACACATGACAGTGTTGTGCAAATGTTGTGAATTATTACATTTGCCTCAGCCATATGATCTGGTGATATCTTTGAAGGCTGATAGAAAAGAACAGCCTTAGGGCCGTCTCGAGTTGCACACACTGTATGGGCGCTTGGTGGATTCCTGTGTCCATTTCAACAATTGGATTTAACCTTGAAGGCCCTCAGTTTTATCTCCAGGAGATCTACCTCCTCTAGCGAGAACCAACCATCTGGGGTGCTCTTCTCAATTGAGGATCTTGGGGTTCATTGTATAAGAGAAGTGAGATTGGTGGGGCCCTGGAAATGAAGTGAGACCCTCATCTTATGGAAGAGGTTCCTCTAGAGTCTAGACTAGTGTTCCTCAACGTTGGTCATTTTAAGAGGGGTGAACTTCAACTCCCAGAATTCCCCAGCCAGGCTCGCTGGCTGGGACATTCTGGGAGTTGAAGTCCATCCCTCTTAAAGTGGCCAACGTTGTTGAGAAACACTGCTCTAAAAAGTAGACTGGCCCCACTCTTGTTCCATATGGTAAAGAAGGGATTATTTTTTGGGTTTGAGGCTGATGTTGCCCAGGGTTGAGTGGGCACCTGTAGTTACCACCGTGTTTACCATTTTATATTCATCACCTTTGGGTATATGGTTTCTTCTTGATTTATACTATCTTGTTTCTGTGTTTTATTATTATGAGCCCCTGTGTGTTGCAAGATTTGGCAGGAGGCCGATAACAAGATTCATTTCATTTGTGTACCAATTTAATGATGCATGGGATAACACTGTGGCTTGTATCAGGTGCCTAGGATTAGAATTTAGCCCGTTATGTGAGTCAAGATGCACAGCTGCCCCTTCAGGACTTTTTGGTTTGCAACTCTAAGGGTCTGGCACCTTTTGTGTCATGGCAGCTTCCCCCCCCCCTCTCTCTTTCTCTCTCTCTCACACACACACACACAGAGAGAAAAAGAGAGAGAGAGAGAGAGGGAGGGAGAGAGAGAGAGAGAGAGAGAGAGAGAGAGAGAGAGATCTGGATAGTCAAGATCATGTTGAGACACCAAACCTAGTTGCTCCTGAGACATTTGGACTGGATTGTTAGGCGATGGTTCAACCTGTTGCTTGGTTGTTGTTTCATATTGATTGCCAGATGAATGATCTCGCTGGAGCCCTGACACAGGGTTCATTGATTGATACCGATTATAAGTTTGTTTTTAATTAGAGCTGTTTTCTGGTTTTAATTTCTTATTAGCTGCCCCAAGTCACCATAGTGAGAGGGAGGGAGGGAGGGAGGAAGGGAGGGAGGGAGGGAGGGAGGGAGGAAGGAAGGAAGGAAGGAAGGAAGGAAGGAGGGATAGAGGGGGAGGGAAGAGAGGGAGGGAAGGGAAGGCAGGAGGGAGGGAGGAAGGAAGGAAGGAAGGAAGGAAGGAAGGAAGGAAGGAAGGAAGGAGGGAAGGAGGGATAGAGGGGGAGGGAATAGAGGGAGGGAAGGGAAGGAAGGAAGGAAGGAAGGAAGGAAGGAAGGAAGGAAGGAAGGAAGGAAGGAAGGAAGGAAGGAAGGAAGGAAGGAAGGAATTCGCAGTATCTTTCCTATCAGCCCACCTGGCTGGGAGCTGAGGTGCCATCATGCTGGGGTGGAGGGATTCTCTGCTCCTACTTTTTTTCACCAAGGACTGGAACCCTTCTTGCCAATTATGAAAAGAGGAAGAAGACCCATCTTCCCTTGTTTAGCCCTTCCCTCTTGTCCACCCCAATATGTTTGTCGTACCCGTCTTTCCTGCTCCACTGATCCTTGCCTTCTGTCTCTCTTTGTGTCCTCAGATGGCTTCCCCCGTGCCCGCAGCCTGCTGTGTGGTGTTCACCGCCATGGTGGTAGTCTACGCCCAGAAGCATAGCCAGCAAGGTGAGTGGTCACTGCCTCCTCCTCCTCCTCCTCCTCCTCCTCCTCCTCTCTCCCTCCACCCCAAAAAAGAGGCATCTCTGTTTCTCCGTATTTGGGGTGTTGGGTTGTTTGGCCACTTCTATATTTAAAGGGGGGAGAACATGGGTGCAGGTGTTTTGCCAAGTGACCGGGCAGTGATGAGGTGCCCAGACAATTGGTTCCTCTAGGTCCAGAGACAATGAGCTCTCCAATAAATGAAGGACTTTTAAGCTTTATTAGTAGCTCAAGCAAGCAGAGTTAAAAACAGGCCTTAAAAAAAGATACCCACCAAGCAGGATACCCCAAATCTTGCAAAGGCTGCTAGGAGCTCCTTAATGACAGCCCAAGGATATCCTTGTTCTACATTGTAGATGCTCCCCCTACTTATGTCCATTCATTTGAAGACTGCTTCTGACAGTGCTGAAAAAGTGAACTTATGGCCAGTCCTCACACTTATGACCAGCACAGCGTTCCCCAATGATCATATGATCAAATTTTGGGTGCTTTAAGATGGTTGCATTGTCCTGGCGTGGGGTGGGGGTGGGGGGGGGTTCCCATAATTGCTATCAGCGACCTTCCTAGGGGGCTTTTGTCAAGCAAAGGGGAATCTGGATTTACTTAACAACTATGTGATTCAGTTAGCAATCCTAATGATTCACTTAATGACTGCAGTACAAAAAGTAAAATCAGGCACGATTCACTTAATGACCACTTAGTATAGGATGGGTTGGTGTCAATTGTGGTTATAAGTTGAGGACTATTTGTACCCAGTGCTAGGTTCTGGGCAGAAGGTCCCAACAACCAACAACAATCACAGTTTTTAGCAAAACTTGGCCCCAGGATCTCATGGCCCTGCTATAGTCAGGAGACAGCAAGATTTTTTTTTTCTAAATACAAAAGAATCTCGAGGCATTGTTTACCTTAAAGAATCTTTATTTTGAGTAGCATAATATCGGCACTGCATGATCAAAGGCAAAAACTGAATTCCCCTCTCCTAAGCACATTGTATCAAAGTACAATTCCCTCCTCCAATTAACTGTCATAAATCACATTCCCCAATTAGCTTGAATAGCAGGCTTCCTCTCCAGTTCTCCAGCCCACCAATTCTTTATCAGCTCTGGTTACAATAACCTTGATTCTCATGCTAGGTCTAGTGCTGTTATGTCTATCTGGACTCTCGTTCACATTCCCCCTCCTAGCATCATCTAACTCTAAAAGCAAAAGGTAAAAGATGGCTACATTTCCATCTCTTGTCAATGCAAAAACATCCGAGACTAGCAGCGCTGACCATTAGTTTATCAAAGTATAAAATACGAAAAGAAATTTTAAAAAGTCAGAGAAAGCTTTGGAGGGGTGGAGATGGGGAGGAAGAGAAAATATGGAATAAAGGGGGGAAAAGAAAGAAAAAGTCACTGATTTCCAGCTCTCTTTAGCACCCTAGAAGATAACATTACAACCTCAACTTTTTACTTTTGTACAACAGTATATACTACTTTCTATATATACTTTCCATAAGAAAAGCTGAGCGTCAAAGAATTGAGGCCTTTGAACTATGGTGCTGGAGAAGACTCCTGCAAGTCCCCTAGACTGCAAGGCAATTAAATGGGTCTGTCCTAGAGGAGGACTCTTTAGAAGGCCAGATCCTGAAGCTGAAACTCAAGTACTTTGGTCACCTAATGAGAAGGAAGGACTTACTGGAGAAGAGCCTAATCCTGGGAAAGATGGAGGGCAAGAGAAGAAGGGGACGACAGAGAAGGAGGGAGCTGGATGGAGTCCCTGAAGGAGTAGGCGTGAGCTTAAATGGACTCCAGAAGATGGTAGAGGACAGGAAGGCCTGGAGGAACGTTGTCCATGGGGTCGCGATGGGTCGGACACGACTTTGCAACTAACAACAACAAATAGCTTATTAATTAATATCAATTTCTTTTTGTATTTTATACTTTGATAAACTAATAAAAGGGTGTATTTAAAAAAAAAAAAAGAAAAAGAGGTCTGCAAGGCCTGTCCTTCACCAGCCGGCACCTGATTTTGGAATGGGAATCAAAAGTTTGAAACTTTCACAGCTGGAAAAACTTTTTAAAGCTACCTGGAAATTCCCTCCCCTTCTCCTTTATTCAGTATTCAAAAAAACAAAACAAAAAAAAAAAAAACCACCCCAACAGAGTAGCTCAGAATGAACTCTAAACTTCTAGAGGTTTCTTAATAGGAAAGAGAAATAAAAATGTGTCACTGAGCTCTTCGCAATAACAACCATCTTCCGCATGGCCACCACACCAAGTGACGCCACAGGTGCATGGTGTGGTGGTGACAGATGCTTCCTCGCCCCTCCCCCGTCTTTCCAGGCATCTGTTGCAGAAAATTGACAGGGGGAAATGATGTTTCTTGGGGTTATTGTTATTTATGGTACAGCCCCGGGCTGAAGATAACAAATTAGCAAGGCTGGGTCGATTGGTGTAAATAACTGTCCCCAACTATTTATTGAAGCCTGCTCTATTACTGCAATTTTTACCACATTTTATTTAATGTGTCATCCAGCATTGTCGTAACTCTTATAATCAGCTTTGGCGGAAGGAATTAAAAAGGAGCAGCTGCAACAGGGTCTCTCTCTCTCTCTCACACACACACACACACACAGACACACACACTCTTTCTCTTTCCCTCTCTCTCTCTCTCTCTCTCTCTTTCATTCCTTCTCTCTCACATACACACTTTCTCTCTCTCATTCTCTCTCTCATACAGACACACATTCTCTCTCATTCTTTCTTGTTCTTTTTCTCTCACACACACACATTCTCTCTCTCTCATTCTCTTTCACACACACATTCTCATTCTCTTTCACACAGATACACATTCTCATTCTTTCTCGTTTGTTTTCTCACACACACACACACACACCTTCTCTCTCTCTCATTCTCTTTGTCTCACACACATACACACACATTCTCTTTCTCTTTCACACACACATACACACACACACATTCTCTCTCATTCTTTCTCTCCCATTCTTTGTTCTCTCTCACACACACATTCTCTTTCTCTCATTCTCTTTCTCTCTCTCTCTCTCTCTCTCTCTCTCTCTCTCTCACACACACACACACACACACACACACACAGAGTTCCTGCAACCGTTCTTCCTATGTTTAGCCTCCAATCCCCTAATCATCTTTGTTGCTCTGCTCTGCATTCTTTCTAGAGTCTCTTGGAAGATAAGCTAGGCATGGACCCCCTTTAACACACACATCCCAACAGAGCTGAAATGGTTTTGCAATACCAGCAGCAAATAATTTGAACTTTCATAATCCCCAGCCAAAAGCTGATCTAGTACCTATTAGCCTTCTTGAGCAAAACGGAAGGCAGGTGACTGACAGGTTCATTTCTTCCCAGGGCCTCCAATCTTCTTTGGGGGAGGGATTATCCTTCTAGATCTTTCTCTCACTCCTTGCATTTTCTGCTTATTAGGATCCTCTCCCTGTAATTAAGCTGCCCCCTTCCCCCCCCCCCCAGAAGCCATGCCTTCTACCATGCCAGTTGATTTCTCCATTTTCAAAATAGTAATTTCCGTTATTGATCAACACCTTGGCTGAATTAACTCACGTTTAAATAATAATTAGGTTTGCTCCCCTGAGAGATAAACCCCTTTGGAAATGAATAACCTTGTTGGGGCCACCTGCCCAGGTTGATAGATTGATGGTGTCCATGCTTGTCCTGCCCCCGTGGCTTAGTAACCAATCACAGATAATCCTTGATAAATGAACATTAGATAATATCTAATGTTCATTTATTGACTGTTTGAAGTTACAACGACACTGAAAAAAGTGACTTTTGACCGTTTTTCACACTTATGACCGTTGCAGCATCCCCATGGTCACAGGATCAAAATTTAGATGTATCATTTCAGACAAATGGCCGTCTAATCTTTTCTTGAAAACCTCCCATGATGAAGCGCCCACAACTTCTGGAGGCAAGTTGATCCATTGATTAAATTGTTCGTACATCAGGAAATTTCTCCATGGTTTTAGGATGGGTTTCTGTTTAACTGAGTAACAGAATGACAGAGTTGGAAGGGATCTTGGAAGTCTTCTTATTTATCCCCCATTTAAGCAGGAGATCCAATACCATTTCAGACAAATAGCTGACCAATCTTTTCTTGAAAACCTCCAGTCATGGAGCACCCACAGCTTCTGGAGGCAAGCCATTCCACTAATTAATTGTTCTGTCAGGAAATTTCTCCTTAGTTTTAGGTTGTTTCTCTCTTTGGTCAGTTTCCATCCATTGCTTCTTGTCCTCCCTTCAGGTGCTTTGGAGAATAGGTTGACACCATCTGTTCTGTGATAGCCCCTCAAGTATTTTACTCCCATCCAAGATTATGAGGTCTGATCAGATTTCCTCCTACAGGTTTGTCCTCAGTAGTCCAGTTCATCTGTTCCTCAGCATTGTTAAGCTCTCCTCCATTTGATGTTCTCTCTTTAGAAGCTGGAATGTTGAATGGAGGAGGCATCTCCTCTGGATCAAGACAGGGCTGGGTTCCATCTTCATATTGCTACTAGGACACGGCACAAGGTCCTGCTTCTTGAAGTCCCTCTTCGTGGTCCTCTTTCCCATCCAAGGAAACCTCCTGAGATGAGCCACGAACCCTAGGCTTAGTTTAAGATGTTGGTCTTATCCTTTAAAGTCCCCAACTGAGGCAGAGATTCTCCATCTAGGATTTCAGGGCGATGGGAAAAATAGTTACAACTTCATTTCCACTAACCTCTGATATAAATTTAGCCTTCCACTCAGTAACAAATATAGGCCAGCAAAGCAATGTATTTCCTCCAGACTCCAAACTTTTTTAAATTTTAACCCGCCTGCATTTTAAACGTATTTATTGCCTTGCCCCTGATTTAGTGGATTAATAAAGATACACATATATTACTATATTAAACATGGGTTATCTGCTGGATTCGAGCGTCCCGACTGGTTTGCTTCGTAATACAGTCCAC